TCAGTTATTCGACTGAGGATGAGGAAGTAGTAGGAAGTATACTCAAGGATTGAAAACATAATCCAGGAAGAATGTAATGAAATAGAAAAGTTTGATATGAAAGGAAGGCACGATATTGTTTACAACATGATGAAAGAGGTTACCTGGGATAGATCATCAAGACCTGGTATAGCAATGAGGTGGAAGAAAGGAATTTAAAAGTAATGAAAGAAGAGAAAGAAATTCTAAATGAATGGAACGAGTACATGATAGATCTCTAAAAACTAATGAAAATCCAAGCCAAACTGGAACTGGAAACAGAAGAATCAGCCTGCCCTGACAATACAGGGGTCAGCTTTATGTTCACCGAAATGAGAAGAGCAATGAAAGAGCAAATCAGATAAAGCTACGGGAATAGACGGAACTCCATTAGAGATATTAAGGTGTCTTCAAAAAGAAGGGATGAAGGAATTAACATCTGTAGCATGTAATGATATATGGATCGGGGGAATGGTCTGAAGATTTGCTGAAAACTCTGATACCTCTGACTGAAAAGAAAGGAACAAATAAGTGTGGTGAACATAGACCAATCAGCCTGGTATGACATGCAGCAAAAATATGGTTGAGACTGTTAAATAGAAGGCTCCAGAGGATAATCTGGCAGAAGAGTGGTTCGGATTTAAAAGAGAAATGGGAACAAGGAATACGATTGAATGAAATGGGCGAAAGATTTGTGTAAAAATGAAGGAATCTCAATTTGATTGTGTTCTGTGAGATAAACTGATGCACATTCTAAAAGGAATAGGGATAGAATGGAAGGATAGAAGGATTGACAAGGATTCTATCTCCGATGCTATGCAATATTTACGCTGAGTACATAACTTCAAGGTTTTGGAAAGGTGATAAGAGCGTCAATATTGAAGGAAGAAGAGTGGTATTCGGTTTATTGGTAACACCCTCCTGTTTGCAGAACATACAGAAGATCTGTAAGCTTTAATTAAACAACTTAAAGAAAAAGGAATGTGGCTTAGTTATAAATCATAAAAAGACTATGGTAATGAGAATTAGGGAGGCTGAAGAAATGCGAACGTATGTGAAAGATCAAATGCTGGAACTATGGAAATATAGATGCGGAGAAAAATGTTTGGAATAAAGTTATCTAACAGGATTCAGAACAAACAAGTACTAGAAAGAATACTTGGATTATTTGAGAAAAAAAACTGTATGTAATTTAAGATTTTTTAATTATAGACCGTCTGCGTGTAGGGTATTATGTCCAAACAAGCGTCCCCTTCTTTCAGGAATTGTTAAAGATATTTTATCAGACCACTTGGAAGATTGGAAAGTGGCGCAATACTTATAAGAAATTGGGTAATTAGAGACTCTTGAGGATTGGTACGTCTTGCTTGTTTTTTAATAAAAAATTCAACGTTCCTAATCTAGGGGGCTATGAACATAACTCTGGTTTCTTTAGATTATTTGTAACAGTTTGCTCCTCTTCTTATCTCGGTTCTGATTGTGTAAAACTACTTTGCGAATTTTAACTCAATATTTTCCATATTTGTTTAATTCCCATTGCAACATTTTCCCTTTAAAAACCCGATATTCATACAACTAAAGATCCGAATTTACAAAATGTCCTCCTTGGCACTCAGTAGCAAGAAAAAGTCTTACTTATGCACATGGGTTTACTTAGTAACTTCAACCACATAGCACTCCAAATACATATAACATTCATCAATTCAAGCATATTTCTTTTAATTAAATGACATGCAAACGGAAGAACCCATTAAAATTCACTTTGGTAACCGCCGAACCAAGATAACATTGACAAGGGGTATTGACAAATAGCGTCTTACTGTAAGTACGCTATATGAAACTTTGACTGGAAAGAAAACTGAGTTTCAAATAACCTTCACGATGGATTGTTGATTAAAGTTGGGAAATTTATTTCGTCAGAAAAGACTAAATAGATTGAACTTCAAAATTGCTTTTAGTGAGTCGCACGAAACTACGCTACATCTACTCACAAGGATAATAATTACTTTGGAAGTAAAGGCATGAGGACCTTGCAGAAAATATAGCGAAGCCCATTTCGGAATTAATTTATCGAATTACTTACGCATGTTTGAAAATGAGCTTGGAAACACATAGATCGTCTATCTGGAGGTAAAAAAATAAACCTTCGCACTATAAAACAAATAAAAGTAACACATAAAACCAAAAAAGACCTCAAGTAAATATAGGTATTCCAGGAACATTTGCACGATAAAAATAAGTATCCTTTTCAATCTTGTCTCAAAGTTTTTACTGCCCATAATATCACGAAATCCCCAGTAGATTTTTTTCTTAACGCTCACGTTTCACTAACAACGTAAATCATAAGTCTATGATACATGGTGGAACTTGTTATATGGGGGCTGCCTTTGCAAGATAGGGAGTATTATTAAACCCTTAGTTCTTTCTGCATCCCGAGGCAGCCAATCTAGCGTAATATTTTAACTGTGCATGTCGGTTGTCATATGATCAAGTTTATTTGCTCGGTTGATACAGGTAGGAAGATTTAGAAACTACGTTCGAGTGGGAATTCGCATTTAGTGATGATAACAGACGACATGAATCAATACCGGGTTCATTTCGGATTATTCGACCAGTTAATTAAAACGGAAAACTGGAGACAAGCTTAAGCGGAATTGACAAATACCGTAATGTAATTCGATATATTTTTGTCGCGTTTTAGTAGAAGACAACATTTTACAGACCTACGTCGGACGATTGAAATATCTAAATGGAATGCAAAAGGCGTGTTGGCAGGATACATTTCCTTAGAGAGAGTAAATTTGTTTCTTGCTATTCAGGAACTGCCGGTGGGATATTCGTGCAAGCTATAGTTAGTATAATCGATAACAGCGCTTCTTACCGGTATAAAACAGGTTTCGATTAGATTCCAGACATAGTTACTTTTCCTTTGGCATTTCAATTCAGGAATCCATAGCATAATGGTATAATACAAAAACATGGTTCCGTTTTAGATCTCGTAACTACAGAAATTCTGTGCGACTACCCCCAACTTTAGCTCATTTAGTGCTTTTGAATTTCTAAGAGATGGAACTTTCCATAGGGCAACAATTTATTAATGATCCTCAGATCCTTTATAGTTTTGTATTGTTGTCCGTATGTCAGTCCGTGTGCTATAAATCTTTTTAAAATTGGATGATTTTGTTGAAATTTGGCGTACGGGTACTTTAGACATTATGGAAGGACTCTATTTTCAGGAAGCTGGCTTAACAGGAACAAGAGTTGTAGGACCTCGAATGAATCGATGTCAAATTCTTTTTATGGGGCAACATGTATTTTGATCAAAAGATGTCAAGATTGTTATTCTTGCACCCAAAACACGTCGATTTTGGTTGGAAAGGGAACATTTTTACTTCAAAATTTACACCCCTGCTGTCAACCTCCTAAGCAGGGTGGCCACACATTCAATAATTATAAATTGAGCGTTGGAATCATTGGAAAGGGCTCTTAATTTCCTACACGCTTATGGTTTAGTTTTCAAAGTTGAGCGATTAGGATACAGGATATCAAAGCACAAATAATTCAAATGGTGTTTGTTTCAAAAACTATTTCCTTACGAGTTATTTAGTCTGTTTCGTTTTCGTTGGACCACCATAAACCTTAGTCAAATTAGACCTAAAAATGCTCAACAAAAGGTACGGTAGAAGATTTTATTTTTCTAACTTATTTAAATGGCAAAGAGAGAGAACACTCCAAGTTTGCCAATGCAACAGACATCGGGAGAAATTTCTGTGGCCCAAAATTAACAAAAATTTCTGAGGTTTTTCTAAAACAACTCACCAATGGCGATGCTTAGGTAAAATCATGTGTTATTCAAAATTGTAGAATATAAAAATACCTTTAATTGGATATTCTATTTGGTCCTCTAGCATATATAGGGTGGTGACTTGCGTAACGCATCATAGGGATTTCAATGTAAAATTCATAACATGCGATTATTGGCTCCCCAAATTATTTTAGACCAAAAATGTATTAAGGTTTTTTGTCGAAAAAAATTTCCATGACTAATAACCCACGAGATTGATGCCTCTCTTTAAATAAAAAAAATAAATAAAACAAAAATATATCTGTTCAATAATATAATACCTAGAAACGAAAACCAATTTCTGCATTTAAAATATCTGTTCACAACAGGTTAATTATAAATGTGCATTTTCATTAAAGTTTATTGAGTAAAAGTAGCAGATTAATTTTACTCAAAATATTCTTTCATTGGTTTTTCAATGCACACTCGGTATTTTACAACGGAGACTATATCTAAAATAATATACTTCGTTGTTTATTCCAAACAAACTGATGACAAAAGAAGTAAAGAAATTAATGACGTGCCATTGTTTACACAAAGTAACTACTTATTAGCTTTGGCATCAAATACGAAGTATACCAAAATCGATTAGATTTTAATTAAACGCCATACTTTCGAAATGAAGAGAAGCAGAGATCTCATTGCACGTATCAAATCATAAGCTCCAACAACATATTTTCAATTTGCGAAAATAATAGGGGAGACCGTATCTCTGGACCGCAGTCCGATTTGTCATAGATGAGGATCGTTTTCAAAATAAACGCATTTTCCCTGTTGAAGGACTCTATATAATTGAATTTCTTCTAACAAATTTATATAGCGCGGTCGATTGTTTGAAAGCTAAAAATTGCGGGACAATAAACTGACATTTCCGAACGTATGGAAAATTCGTTTTCTTTTTGCTGCATCCACTGCACCGTTCCACTTTGTGATTTCTTGAACTTGATTGTATCCCTCTTACGTCAATTTGTGCACAGATTCTTTCAGGTGGATTTCATTCTGTAAAGAGGATTATATTTACGGATGGGTAAGCGCATGAAAGTAACAAAGAAATGTGTGCATTACATTATTAAAAACTGGAGCATAAGTTAATACTAACTGACACTGATATAAATACAGCAACTTTGGAGATAAAACAGTATATTGAGACAGAATCCACTTAAACTATAAAGTGAACAATAAATTAGATTTAACTGCTTTTAAAACACTTCTTAACTTTCTATGCAGATTTCTTTATAACTACCCCACTTTGTTTTCTTAATAGCTCTATAAAACATGAAAATAAAACTTCTAATTTGGTGAAACATCATTGGGTTCTTTTGCTTACTACTGATTGCTATTTTCTGTCTATGGGCTAAAATTGCATGAAATTTCCATTCGTCGGCGATGCCTTTCAGATTTTTGTTTCAAACTATGTATAATGATTAAAGTTGGGACTTGCCAATTGAATGTACCTGCCAATACAAAAAAATGGGTTAATAACGTTGCGCGCTAATAATCGTGGTTTCAAACGGTTTTAGTTAATTGATTTATGATGAACAAAAGGTTACGATGGTTTAGTTAGTGTGTACAATAACAACTGATAGGGTGTTGCTACCCTTAATTATTTGCGCGGGGCATATGGAAGAGTATACCTTTAGCTGAACTTTTTATTGCCTTTTTTTGTAAGCAATAAATTATCGTGTTCATTTTGTGCTAATTTATGCGCTAATTGTTTACGTTACAGAGAAAATCAAAGTGTTCCAATTGAATACTAGAAAGTCAACTTTTTCGTACCGAAATGAAAATAAGGCGATGGTTATGTGCTCGTTATGACCTACTATTTGCCTCCATACACATACACATGATTGAGCATGAGCTTCGGAAGGATTTGTAATTACCACATCATGTGCATTCAAAATGTATTCTCAGTGCATCCAACCACACCCCTACCTTACAGTTAATTGGTGCTGAAAACTGGTTTGCGTTTCGATTTATCCTTATTTTTTTGTCGAATTGGTAGAGCAGCCTGGGTTTGGAAATCAAATCATAAATAAAATGAACAGATTCTTCGGAGATTCTGTAAAGATTTGAATATATTTAAATCTTACGTTTTTTTTAGTACTTGATAGATTGATTTTGATTTTTACATTTTCCATTAGTCTGCTCTAGCATATTTTAAAGAAGCTTCAGGAAGTCTTAATAAATATTCTCCAGAGATTCTTTAGCTGTTAAGAAAACTGGAGTTTTTAGAGAAATGTCAGCTTTCAGCTCCAAAATTCTTCCTCCTAAAATGTTAAGATACTTTTGTGAGGGTTTTTAGACATTCTTCTGAGAATCTGTAAAGAAAAATAAAATTATTTTGCAATAAGGTCAATGGTTTTCATCCTTAAAAAAAGTTAAAAAGCGACCAATGCAAATTTGGCGAGAACGTGAATTTCCATGGGAAAAAATGGAATAACTCGTAAGAGCACAAAATTTATCGCATTAGACAAAAAAAGTTGGAACCTCAACTTCACTGTGTGTGAAGCAGTTACCTTTCGTTAAGTTTAAAAATTTTATAAAAAATCATTTTTTAGCTTATTGTTTCTACTCCATAGAGGAATACCTCAGTACACCTATTGTTTTTAATTTGTGATTTTAACTTGTATTTTTATTTTTAATATTGTTAGTTTTTTATGAATCTCTTTGTCCGTTTGTACTTTTATTGTATACTACTTATTTATGCTGTAATTTGACCTGTCGCAAGCACTGAATGTGATATTACGACAAAATATACAATATACAATATACACTGATCTGCATGTTTGATAAATTTTCTAGTAACATACTTCCAGTATTGTAACTGAAGTTGTGAAAACGGTACATCATCGGAAGTAAATGCAGTAAGGTATGTAATGTAATTCTGTTTCAAGATTAAAAACAACGATATTATAGTACAAATTTTGTGTACCAAGGATTTAATGCCATTTGCTGCGCACTCTTCCCCTTTCTTTTAATACAAAGTCTATAAACCCGAGGATAATGCTACATTTACAAGACAGAAGATGAAAAAAGTATATTAAAAGGCCGTTTTATTAGAAATTCCTTACTTGATGTTGTACGTCAGGGTCCCTTGCGAGATATAAAGCAGAAAGGCATCTCTTGTGTAAATGTTATACAGATACAAACAGAAACAAATATTGAAAAGGAAACCATCAACAAAGCACGCGACGTAACTTAGATTTGTGTAATAATTAATAGAGAAGTTTAAATTTATTTTTTTGTTACAGGAAATAAACTATGATTCTCCGAGAGGTGGAGTGAGCGTAATTACAGAAAAAGGTGATATTACCGTCAGTTATCTACTCGTGCAAAAAGCACGAAATTCCGATTCTGGAAAATATACGTGTAGCCCTTCGAACGCTAACCCGAAAACTCTCATAGTGCACGTACTAAACGGTAAGTTAATTATCCCTTGAAGAATATTAAATTTCATAGTGTCTCCTCCGCAACCTCAAAAGTGGACGGGCAGACGGTATTCTAATTATCTCTGCGGTTTGTTTGATTAACTTGTGAATCATGATTGACTTAAACGAAAATTTACTTAACTTTTTAGTAGGTTCGTAATTTATTAAAACTTCTTGAGTTTCACATCAATTTTCTCAGTGGGGTGTTAAATGTCAACCTCTGAACTTTTTCCTAGGACCATTAACTTAAATTTACGATAAGTGTAATTATTACCTGTAAACCTTTAGCGTAAAAGCTTTCCGAGCAACAGATGTGCCATGAACTGCTATTATATAGCTAATTATGCATTTACGTTATACAGAGGTTTGTTTTAAAATTGTAATACACAAATGCCGAGAATTAAACGAGTAGAACTGTTTTCTGTGGACTCTCAATGGGAAAGATAGTGGTGTTGGCAACCCTACTGAGTTGCACTGCTAATTCACGTATAGGTCATTGGATAAGAAGTTTATACGAAATTGGAAATAGACAACTAACGAATTGACGATATTTTGTATACAAGGTGTCCCAACGAAAATGTGTACTGCAACAAAGTATTATCGCTGAGACCGGAGAATAACTCTCGAGGTCTTAAGAATTGTAGCATGTGAGTTTGAGTCGAGATTGCATTATTCTTTGGAAGAGAATACATGCGTTAGTTTAAACCTTTTTGGACATTTATTAATTTTTAAAGTTTGATTTCCCAGTAAATAATTAATCGATGTTAAAAAATAAAAACGCCTATGTAAATAATGAAAATCTTTTCCAAGTTATGAGATATTTGTCCCTTCGACCCATTTATTGATCTGGAAAGTCCCTGCAATAATTATGGTTGCATAATAATTGGTCTTCTTGGACATAAAAGTCGATGGATATGTACCACGATAGATGGAATTGTTGGCAAATGCCCATGCGGTTGAAGACATGGCTATGGATATTTGCTAACAAAAACAAATTTTACCTCATTTTCCGCATTCCCAGCGGATGACCTGGTGCGCCCTGACGAGTGACGGCGGTAGCGAGCGGAATCACATAGGAACAGTAAGTTGGTCTATTGAAGAACTTCCGTATGATCTTCCGGCCATGCCGACGGTTCCTCTTCGGGGCCACTCGCGGAATTTGATTAGCCCCTAACGCTGAAGAATACAAATAATCCAGGGAAAATAACACCGGAGGCGTTAGGCTAAAGAGCGCTACCGGATCTTGACCTGCTAGAGACTGACGACTTCCATTGCGCATCGCCTCATCAAGCCGCCGCGCATGCGCGCTACTGTGCTATTTTCGTTTTTACGACCAATGGCGAGCCCCTTTAATTCAATAGTTATACTTTTTGTGCTAACTTGTGATGTGTTTTCTTTTCAAAATTAGTGGCCTTGTGACAAATTATGTATTCCAAAAATGTGATTGAGATCTAAAATTTACTACTCAGGTGAGATATTATTGAAGGGTTTTTCTCGTTTCCCTATGTCCTGTTAGGCGGATAGGAATATTTATTTTGTATTTTCATTAAACTCTCATTAAGTATGTTTTTCCTACAATGTGAAATTTCATGATTTACATCTTTTACAATAAAAGCACATGGACTGACTTTGCATATATTAACCCCCTTTATACAGGTGTTTTGGTTTAACGTTAAAGTTACTATAAAAACAATTTGAAGATGAACGTCCTTATTTATAGGGGCAATGACGAATTTACAGCAACTGTCAGGGCCATTTTGCAGAAAGACCAAATGAATATTTTTATACTGGATTAAAGATGTTATTGAAGCGATGTTATACTGTATTCAAAAGCAAGGGAAATTATTGAAAAATAAAACTTGGTGTTGCTCTAGTCGTAGTCGTAAATAACATATTGAAATACGGCTGAATTTCTGTACAAAAGTTAATTTGAGAATACAAAAATGAATTATTCTCAGTCTAATAAGTTACTTATTTGTCATTTATTAGCTACATAATATTTGAGATCATATTTTAAGTATATTAGGTATGATTGATCAGTGTCCAATGAATATATCATTATTTAGTGACTTGAGTTTAATTCAATATTCGTCACGTCGCATTCGTGAACTGAAACTGTATTTCAATACAGAAAAAAGCATGACGCCCCAATAATCAACCTTCATGTTAAAGCGAAAACTTTCAGGATTCTGACGTATTTGTGAAACTAGAATACCTAATATGATCGTAATAGCTAAAATTAAATTCCATTCAATATAAAATATAATCTGTGCATAGTTGTTTGCAAAATAACACCCCCACCGCAACTGGAGTGGAATTTGAAAGCTAACTAATTCATTCATATTATTTATACTACTATAATGAATAATTTGAAGTTGGGTAACTATTGTAGTTGGATAACTTACAGTATAAATTATAATTCAATTCTTACAACTCCCTTATATCTTTCAGAAGCCACTAACATAAACTTTATAGTAGGTAGATTTTTTGTTAGATTTCTACATTTACGAATCGATTTCACTAAATACCAATATGGAACAGCAGGTAAACTCATACAAAGTTTTAGTCGAATCCAATTATTCTCAACAAACTAATTACCACTACAAACACGAGCTTCGTCTCGTCACGGATATGGGTCAATCACACTTCATACCTAGAGCACGTGCACATAGCGTAGTTGGAACTGGTTTGCAAATACTGATTTGAAAAATGTAATTAAAGTTTCCATTTTGTTACGTCATATCTCATTGAATTTATATACAAATTTAAAGTTCAAGTCTCGTTATCTCTGGCAATATTTGTGATCAAATCATTATTAGATAACTGACTGGCTGGCCTGCTGAGACCTCAGCAATTACAATAGCTAGAGACATCACATTTTCACTAAAAGCTTTCTGGTATAGTGTAGATGTGCAGGCGCTAGTCTATTTTGAGTTAAAGTACTCATGAGATAGGTAATTTTACTTCGCTAATCAAATACTGATCGGTATTACTGTGGTATTACCAAAAATGCGCTTTCATCATGCATATGCTGATTTACAACTTGTTTTTTAATAACTGACCAGTGACCACCACAATTTTTGAGGCTGTTAGGATCCGAAGCATATTTTCCAATTCCAACATCCATAATCCATAGTTCAGAACGCCTTTTCAAGGGTAATAAGGCGCTAAAATCTGTAAATGTAAAAGTAAATGGAAATGCCGTGTTGTTCGTTCGTGCAGAGATAGTGACTTTATTTCGAGGTTACTCAAATGCGTATGAATGTATTCGGAATTAACATAAGTTGAAATTGGAACTGGTCCTTGAACTGGTACCATAAACTGAAATAGTCTTGAACGTGACATTAAAACTGGAAATTAAAACCCTCAAAGAAATTAAATGTAATCCTCGTCGTGTGATAACCTTAAAATGTACCTACATAGCTCTTTAAATAAGGAGGTGTATTAAATATTAGCCGGAACCTAAAGAAGATCCGTACGTCAAGCAGCTATGTTACACGAAAAATTAAAATAACATGAGACAAAGACATTTGATCATTCTGGTACATTCATTTTAGCAATAGTAACAATCGTCCAGAAATAAAAAGTTTTGCAATGACGTGAACTTGACATCACCACGATTGCTAACACTATTCGCCCATACCCACTTCCTTTCCACAATAAATCGTTTGAGACTTCGCGGATTGTATCAATCAAGTCGAAGTATCCACAAAATAAAGAAAATCAGATCATAATTCAAGCTGTTACAATGAAGCATTGTGTGATTGTTACAAGCTGATACGATAAATTGAGCTATCAGGGAAGCACATTTGAGGGAAACTTATACCCCTTCATTCTGGTTTATGCCTTCTCTATCAACCCAAAAATGTTTCTCTAG